TTCAAACAATGAATTGGATCAAATTATTTTGAATATAAAAGAGTCACAACCATATTCAGGTCAAAATATACTAATGGTGCTTTGAAAAGTAGAAGTGTCAGTCAGAATAACACATGAACAGTTAAGAGAAGCATTGAGAAGAATTGATCCTTGGGGTATGGCAAATAGGTGGGCAGAAATTACACCATATCATGAATATCATGTTTCAGGTCCAAATGCATTGTGGCATATAGATGGCAATCATAAGTTAATCCATTGGAAATTAGTTGTCCATGGTGCTATAGATGGCTATTCACGACTAATTACATATTTGCACTGCAGTAATAATAATTATTCCTCAACAGTCTTACAATATTTTTTGAAGGCAACACAAATTCATGGCATTCCAAGTAGGGTCAGAGGTGATTGTGGAGGAGAAAATGTTGATGTTGCTGCTTGGATGCTAAATACTAGAGGTCTTAATAGAGGTAGTTATATTGCTGGTCAGTCAGTCCATAATCAGCGGATTGAGCGGTTATGGCAGGATGTGTACAGATGTGTTATTAAGATTTATGTTGGCATTTTTTATTTTCTTGAAGAGCACCATGGATTAAATCCTGATAATGATTTGGATCTATTTTGCCTACATTATGTATTTGTTCCAAGAATTGAAGAATCTTTGTATAAATGGGAACAATCATGGAACAATCACTCAGTATGAACTGAAAGTCACTATACACCAAGGCAGTTATTTATAAGATCTGCAATAAGTGGAAATGCCATTTTAGACCATGCTGATATAAATGTTGATGATGAATATGGAATAGATTGGAATGGTCCAACTCCTCAAGTAGAATATCAACAAGTAATTGTTAATGAGGTAAGGAATATTTTGTCACCATTACAATTCCAATATTTACAACAGTCAATAAATATTACAAATAATGATGGAAATTATGGTATCACAATTATTACAAAATGTTCCAAATTAATATAATATTAAAAAATAAATAAATACAAATATTATTATTGTTAAACAAAAGAGACTAGGTCAGATGTCTGACATATAATTGGATGACACTTCTATCATTTTATTAAAATTTTGCTCATAGGTTTGACAATTTAACCACAGTTTAAGCAATTTTTAAGTTTTGTCACTAGTTTAGAAGCCTAAATTACTGATTTCTGTGGGGTGAGTGAAACTATTTTGGATTTGCTAAATAATTTCAGCCACCATCATTATTCTGTCACTTACCTTTTTATTCAAAATTTTGAAGGCAAATAAATAAATGAATCAAAGGTATAGTTATAATCTTTTATTGATTGATATTATATCTTATTATCTCTTTTGTTATAAAAACATAATTAATATAATTATTAACAAAGCAAATGCTATCATTTTAAAAAAATTACACATTAATGAAAAATATCAATCATGAATTGTATCAATTTCATCATTGGTTGAGATATTTTCCTCATTAAAACCTTCATTGCAATTGGTAAAAACTGCATCCAAGACTTTTGGTAGGTTTCCAATCTCCTTGTTTGTATAGTTTTCACAAAGTTT